TACAATACAATTAGAACCTATCAAAATCCTCCAGAATCCTGAGATGTGAAAAATAAGAGGTCGAAAGAAGGAGTAAAATTTCGACTCGGGTTACCCAAAGAAATTCACACCTGAGAGAATTGCGATCGTGGTGCGAGGAATCGCACCTGGCGCCTAATATTTCGAGGAATTATTTAGTTGAGCTATCATCTGGGTTTCTGAGAGTCTTGTCGTGATTGATTTTTTTTAAGATCGTTAGTGAATAAAAGCGACGGCGCGCTCCTTCACGGCCGGCGGGACCGTGAGGACATCGTCGTTGTCGTCACACGGTTAAAGTTGACGACTATCAGGTTATGAGACCTGTCATACCGACGAGATCTAGCGACTACAAACATGCCCTGTGGCCATATGCGCATGTTCAGTGGCCGCACGCGCATGCAAGAGGTCACGTGACAACTGTTTGGTTGGTAAGTCAGAAGTGTAACATAATTCGAAATGATATTCTTTCGGCGTATAAATTAGTGACGCTTTAAAAGTATTTAACTGCAGTTTAATGATTTTCATTAAAGCAGGGCACACACACACACACACACACGTGTGTATGTCCTGCTTTATAGAAATTGTAATTTTCGTTAAAGCAGGGCACACACACACACACACGTGTGTACCCAGATAGCCAAGTCTGTTCGAACAAATAATGCCAAATACTTGCTACAAATTTTGGTTTCAGAAATAGTACAAATTTGCATCAAAATTTGTTTTATCAAATGTTGTCGACAAACTGCTAGCAAAACATGCGTACACAATTAACGACAAATTGATACCAAATATCGAGCAAAGCTTAGTAGTACCTGATAACAAATTGGCATCAAATTGCCGCTAAAATTAGTTGACAAAACCTAACGCCAAATTAATGCCAAATATTGAGCAAATTTTGGTGACAAAGCTTGAGAACAAATTGACGCCAAATACCGACCAAAGCTTAGCAACTACCTGATAACAAATTGGCACTAAATTGCTGTTAAAGTTTGTTGACTAAACCTAACACCAAACTGATGCCAAATATTGAGCAAATTTTGGTAACAAAACTTAAGAACAAATTGACGCGCTCGAATTCCTTCGCGTTTTGCAAACGCCCGATCGTTTCATTCAGATGGCGCGACGCATGAGTCGCCACTTTCAAAGCGCCCCCACCTCATCCTTCCTCGCTCTCGTTCAGTGTCATGGCCGCTCTTGATGCGTTTCTTCGGACGAGAAGAGTACGTTTTCTTTCTTTCGTAACTGATTGAGCTAAGTGACACGTATTTTAGAGACCAACCGAGCGAGATTCGACTTCCCAAGGAGAGCTCACCGCCAGGAAAAGGAGAGCTGCGGCAGCTTGCGTCCGAGAGGGAGGATTGAGGCAAGGAATCCGGTCCAGCGAGCAGGGCTCTTCCGATATTCTCATTTGGGACGCCATATTGGAAGATCGACATTGATCGTAGTAATACAAGGGGCGCTGTAAGGTTAATTCTCGTCTTGAGATCTTGAAATTGATCTCATTCTTGTGACTCTGGTTTATATTCCAGCCCTAGAATTGATCTTGTAGACAAATGCAGAGGCCCCCCTCTCTTTTTTTTTCTTACTTTGATTTCAATCAGTAATCCAGATTCTTTAATTCCGTTCTGTAAGATCTGGTTAATTCTCGTCTTGAGATCTTGGAATTGCTCTCATACTTGTGACTCTGGTTTATATTCTAGTCCTAATGTAATTTTAATATATGCATTACAATTTTACACTGTCAAATAATAAATAATATTGTTTAATAATAATAACAACAGTATAGATAATAGTAACAATTTTATTACTTGACTTATTTTATTTTATTTTTGACAACTCGTATATACATTAATTGTGGCTAAGGTCTATACTATGTCATAGTGTAGATCTTAGCTTACGTTTTTGGCAAGTCAGTCCAAAGTATGCGGCTTTATTCTTTATCCTTTTTATCTATAGTGTAAGGTGGATAAGGTACAACAAGATAGACTGTACTCGTGGCAGGTAGGAAGCAAACTGAACTTTATTCACAACGGTCGCTGCGCTCTCTGTATCGCAAGGTGCACGCAGTGCCATCTACCTTACATCTCCCTTTTTAGGATTAGTCGTAAGCAAGAACATAAACGAGTTATGCAATACAAAAATGATCAAGTGAACAAAAATAATCATAATGAACAAATCTTATGAACAAAAATAATCATAATCATTGGCACCTCTTATTACAGCTTCAGTCTCTGAGGTGGTCTGCTTACTCTGCCTGACGCAGTTCTTACAGTTTGGTTTCCCGCTTCCACCTCCGAATCTGAACCTGTACTCTCTGACTCCATTCTAGAATCTTCAAACTCTTCTGTACTTGAGGTGCTGCTGTTAGCCTGCAGTTCAGCGTCGTTGTTTACATTTTGAATCGGTTCGACCTCATTATCTACTATTTCAATGTAAATCTTTGGTTCTATCTCTTTCTCCGCTTTTTTAGAAGCTTCTGTTTTAGGAGCCGCGTTTAACGATACGGTCCGGGTTTTAAGAAGCTTTATAAACCTTCTATTTCTAATTTGTATCGAGCCGTTTTGCAGCTTGACTTTGTACGACCTATCTCTCATCTGACATAAAACCGTGGCAGGAACCCAGTTAGACCTTGGACTTCGTTGAACATACACAAAAGAATTGTCTGGTATCGGTGGCAACTCTTTCGCATTTCTCGCATTATAGTACTTTTGTTCGTCTTTTTGTAGTTTAGCCACAGTTTCTGCAATTAGTTTTGTCGCGACTTTAGGTTTTAACATTTTATTTGTATACGGTAATTTAGATCTAAGTTTTCTAGACATTAACGCTTCCGCTGGTGAGACATTCCCAAGTATTGGTGTGTTTCTATAGTGTAGCAATGCAAGATCTAGATCTGACTTCCCTTCTAAAGCTTTCTTAAACATACTTTTGACAGTTTGAATATTTCTTTCCGACATTCCATTGGACTGTGTATACGTCGGGGACAATGGTATGTGATCAAACTCATATTCTTTTGCAAATTGTTCAAACTCTCTGGAAGTAAATTGAGTCCCTCCATCAGATATCACCGTCCGGGGTATGCCGTGTCTCGCAAATATAGCTTTCATCCTTTTAATTACAGTATTGCTAGTCATGTTATTTCCGAGTTCTGCGATTTCCGGATATTTAGAGAAGTAGTCTATTAACAATACATATTTTTTACCATTTAGTTCAAAAATATCGCAGCCTATTTTATTCCATGGTAAATTTGGTATTTCGTGAGATTTTAACGGTTCTCTGTTTTGTGATTTCGCGTATTTTAAACATAATGGACATTCAGCGATTTTCTGTTTGATTTGATTTGTCATTCCCGGCCAAAATATTGATTCCTGGGCTACTGAGAGACATTTGTTTACACCTAAGTGGCTATAATGAACTCTGTTCACCATTTCGTTTCGCATACTTTTTGGAATTACAAGGCTTTGACCCTTAAAGACTAAACCGTCCGCAATAGTTAATTCGCTTTGATATTGTTTGTAACTTTTCACGCTGTTCGGCAATTGTTTCGTATTCTTAGGCCAACCCGCTAGGATAACTTTTTTAAGCTCAACCAATTCGTCATCTTTGTTTGTCTCTTCTACTAACTTTTCTAATTTTTTAGGAGTTGCATTTATTTGACTAGTTATTAGACAAACTTGAGCATCAATGTCTTCTTCCCATTCTGCTATATTGTGCTCTTTGACGTACGCTCTTGACAGTGCATCCGCAATCACTAATTCTTTACCGGGTCTATATCTTAAATCTATGTCATATTTCTGCAACTGCAGTCTCATTCTTTGTAATCGAGCAGGACATTTATACAATGGCTTTTTAAATATCGAAACCAGGGGTTGATGGTCTGTCTCTACTATTACCTTTTTTCCGAATACGTATTCGTGAAATCTAGTTAGTCCGAAACAGATCGCAAGTAATTTTTTTTCAATTTGTGCGTACCTAGTTTGAGTTTCTGTCAATGCTTTAGATGCATACGCACAAGGTAATTTATTTTGCATAAGGACAGCCCCAAGCCCTGCTTTCGAAGCGTCCATTGAGACAACGGACTCTTTATCTTTGTCAAAGAACTGTAGGACTGGCTGACTACAGAGAATTTTTTTAATTTCATCTAAAGCTTTAGTACGTTCAGTCGACCAGATAAACTCTACGTTGTCTTTTATCAAATTTCTTAACGGAGCAGTTTTGTCTGAAAAATCCTTTACAAACTTACTTACGTACGTCAACATACCTAACAATCTCTGAACGTCAGTTTTATTTTCCGGTTGTTGAAACTCCATTATAGCACAAATTTTATTTCCATTAGGATACATGCCCTTGTCAGTAATTATGTGGCCTATATATTCAATTTCCGTTCTTCCAAATTTGCATTTACTTAAATTAAATGTAACATTATTTTCTTTTGCTAACTGGAACACCTTTAACAGTCTTTTATCGTGTTCTTCTTTTGTCTTTCTCCAAACAATTACGTCATCAATATACGTTTCTGAACTCTCTGTGTTGAAAACTGAGCTATAATTTTCCTGAAATACTTCCGGGGCTGAGCATAACCCATACGGCATCCTTAACCATTTGTATTTTCCGAAGGGTGTTGCGAACGTGCACAGATCTGAGCTTTCTTTGTCTAACTGTATCTGGTAAAACCCCTTTGTTGCATCTAGAGTGCTAAAGTACTTTGCCCCCTTAAATTTCGTTGGAATTTGTTCCAGTGTAGGAATTTGACAGTATATGCGCTTAATTACCCTGTTTAAATCTTGTGGATCTAGACAGATACGCAAATCCCCGTTAGGCTTTCTGACAATGACAAGACTATTTACCCAATCCGTGCTATAATCGACTTTTTCGATAATTCCTTGTTTTTCTAAAGCGTCTAGAGTTTCTTTTAATTTTTCTTTAATGTGCACTGGCACTTTCCTTGCAGGATGTACTACAGGTGTCGCATTTTCTTTAAGCTCTATGTGACACGGTTTCTTTAAGCAACCGATGCCTTCAAATAACTGCTTATTATCGCTAATTAATTTCTTGTAATTTAAATTTACTGAATCGACTGCATCTATTCTCTGTACTAAATTTAGTTTAATTAAGGTCAGTAATCCCAGTAATGGTTTTTTATCTGTGTCTATCACGAAAAACTGAAGATTATAATTTTTTCTCCCGACTACGCACGGTATGACACAATTTCCAACTACCTTAAGCAAATCACCTGTATACGCTGATAGTACTACATCAGTTCTCTTTAAAACATTTTTCGGAAAACCTAATTCGTTATAGGTCTTTAACGGCAACGTATTTACACGAGATCCCGTGTCCATTTTAAAATTTATCTCTTTATCTCTTATTTTGATACTAGTTGACCATTCGTTCATCAATACCATATCCTTTGAGTCAACTGTATCGACATCTATTGAGCCAACAAACATGTAATCTTCCGCGTTACCTACTTCTACTTTGTGTACTTTATTTTCCGCTTTACTAACCTTATCTTTATTTTTAAGACATTTACTCGCGAAGTGATTTTTAATTTGACACGCGTTACATTTTTTTCCGAACGCCGGACATTTATTTATCGCATGTGACCTTCCGCATTTTGTACAGTCCGTTATCATCTTTGTCTGCTTGCTGTTTCCGCCGCCGGTCGTTGTGGTAGGTCGCTGTTTACCGGCCGGAGACATTCCGCCCTGGTGGCTGCCCTGATTTCTCCTCCGGTTAATGGCGTCTACACTATTTCCGTTGGTCTGTGCCCCCTCAATGGCATCGCTTCTTGCTTTCGACATCTCGATGATTAGACACTGCTCGATAGCCTTATCGAGAGTTAACTCATCTTTTTGGAGCAACTGTTCACGTATTGTGGAATTATTAACCCCACAAATTATCATTGTTTTAATGAGGCTGTCTTGTAACTCGCCGAGTTTGCACTTCATGGCCCTCTGCTTCAGCTCCGTGATGAACTGTTCTAGCGTCTGACCGGGTTGCTGTCTATAAGAGAAGAATTTGTATCTCTCATAGGGTAGATTCTCCTTCGGCAGGAAATGTGCCTCGAATTTCTCGAACAGTATTGTAATTTTGTCCTTCTCTGCTGCTGAGAAAGTGAAGGTCGTATATATTTTAAAGCCTTCGTCACCAATGTAGTGCAGCAGTTGAGCGCACTGAGTCGCTTCTTCTCTCTTGTTAATTTCCGTTGCCACGAGGTAGTTCTCGAAC